CTTGGTGAAGCTGTTAGAGCACCTGTCGACGAAGTTGTTCCACCAGCTGATCTTGAATTTGCTGCACCAGAATTAGTACTTGGCAGGCCAACTGGATGGTACACAGATGTCTGGGCTGCTGGGGTATTTATTTATGTTCTTCTCAGTGGGCTATCACCGTTTTTAGACGATTCCGTTGAAGAGACAACAGCGAATATACTTAAATGTGATTACTGCTTTCCCGACGAGTACTTTGAGTTTATATCCAATGACGCTAAAGATCTTCTTGGAAGACTTTTGATCCTCAGGGGGGAGGAGAGAGGCAGTGCTGAGGCTTGTCTCAGCTCTCCCTGGTTCAAGGTAGTTCAATCGGTTGGTTGATGGGGTCCATGTTTAACAAACTTCCGTTAAAAAAACTTTCTCAAAGAAACCTAAACAATTTCTACTCCAAAAAATTTGAAAAAAAAAATTTTTAATCCAGGAAAATAATGCAAAAAAAACAAGAATAGAGCATTAATAACCCTTCAATGAATAGTCATGAGCAAAAATAACAAAATGAAAAGAAAAACACACGAAGCATAAAATTAAATTTGCAAACATCGTCTCCAGAGCAAACAACATTGAGTCTCAATAACAAGTGATTTGATACAAATTCATAAGCATGACGCAATAAATAACTATTCATATCCACAATACGACAAAATTTAACAAATGATCAGTCATTTAAAGCACCACATTCAATGCAATCCCTCAAATACTTCAGAGTAATGAGAAATATCGGTTATTCTTTTCACAAGGAATGAAAATAAAACAGATAACAAAACTCTAGAAGTCCATACACAAACACAGATTTTACTTATATTCTTACAAAAGACGATAACTGGAAGCTGTCATTGACGAAAGTTCAGTTTGACAAAAGTTGAATTCACCAAATGTTCGCTTTCCCAAAGTTGATTTAACCAGGTTTTTTCGACAAAGTTGTTTTGGCGAATTTTTTTAGACGTGCCCCCGTTTCATGTCTTTGAGAGATGTTTCTGGAGGCTCACAGATTTTTATAAATTTGCAGATTGCCAAGGGGGCCACTATTTCCTCGTCGAGAATGGCAGCATTCATCGAGCGGAGGGCACACTGCTCCAAGCCACATACTGATCATAATGAGGGTTTATATAGTTGAGAAAAGTTTAGGATAGCTGCATGTAAATACGACACTGTATATTTTTCGTAGTTTCTTCGATTCATTGTCATGATTTTATTACTCAAATTATCAAACTGTACTTATTGTTAAATATACTTTTAGAGAGATACTTTTTATATGGAGTTTTCTTATTTTGTTCATTCCTAATGTTATCACAAATCAACGTGTAACCACAAATCAATCCACACCCTGAAGATTGTTATTAAAAAAAAAATATCGAACAATCTTTCTTTTTCTTTGTAAATAAAATTAATTACGGGAATTAAAAGGAGAATAAAAATGAAAAGATTAGCACTAGCATGACTTCGAGGAAGAAATGTGCGGAAAATGGGGCGGGGGGAGGGGGGAAATTTCAGGGAAATTTTTTCGAGAAAGAAAAATCGGGGAATTCAAAAAAAAAGTGTTGAGTGTTATCAGCGCCTCTATCGTCAATAATTCCCAATGTCTCCCCCAATACGTGGACAGCTGATGTATTTTGTTGACAAAATGTCAAGTATATTTGTTGAAAAACCCACTTAACAACAATGGGTTCGCGAATCCAAAAAGGGGAATTGGGTTCATTAATCAATATTCACTGGTTTCCCCTCGCCTCTCAGGGCAATGTGTACTCAATGTCGAAATTGTGTTCGCCCAGTGGGGTTAACAGGATCCTCGTGGCATCGTTGAAGCGCAGAATATACTCCTGCGAGTACCACAGGGTCAACGACGACGTCCTGAGGCCTCTCGTCAAGGAGTTGCTCTTCACATACATCCCAAGTACGTGTTCTCATTATCAAATAATTTATTCTTGGTTGTTTTATGACACAAAAATTGTCTCAGATGGGGCTGAGATAATATCGATCGATGCATTCAACAAACAGCCTCATGACGAGGAATTCACGATTGGAATTACGATAATAAAACCGAGTGGTGAAGGCACGGTCGAGAGGTACCTCAATATTTATTCGGAAACAGCTGGGGATGGGGAGAGTGGAGAGACCTCGATTGAGACGATTGCTCAGAATTGCCTGTCCATGGAGCTCACTTATACACCTTATCTACTGTATCACACGTTGATTTGTGATAGAGAGATCGGGGAAGAGGTGAATTTATTAGAGTGATTCCACATTTAATTCGAAATACGTGTGGGGTAATTCGAGGGGGGATTTTTTTATTGAAAGTCAGATTTATGCCCTGGAATGGGGCATTATATTATTTTATTTATACATTATTTTTTGAGGATGAAGTTTATAAAAAGAGTAACAATGTCCAACAATTAGATTTAAGGAAATTCTACTCGAATTCTATTGGAAATTCTGTTAATTTTTTGCTTGTTTCGTTGTGCCGTGTCTAATGAAGAGAGAATGGCTGCATTTCGATTCTTTAATTCAATGTATTTCGTTGATATTTTTTTCTATAAAAAAAGCAACAATTTTATGAGTTTTCTTTAATTTTCTGACTCATATTACAACATTCGAGAGGAAGAACTTTAAAAATTTGTGTCGAGGAATTTTTGTAGAAAAAATATCGATTGAAATATTGTATTGAAAAATCGATTGACGTTTTCTATTGAATTTCCGATGAATATTAAATCTTCTATGTTGCCAATAGAAGATTTACAATAGAATCGTCTACGGAAAGCTATTTCTTTTGAATTTTGTCATGTGAATCGAATGCAATTTCTCTCATTTTGAAATTTTTTTTTACCATTCAATGTATAAAGACATAAATTTTATGCCCAACTATTTTATCGAGTAATTATTATTAAAATGAAAATTTTCGAAAAATCGAAAGCATGAGATTTCGAAATTTCGAATTTCACGCGGAATTCCTCCCAACAAATCAACTCCATCAATTCTTCCTAGATTGTCTGGCTAATTTCTGGCAACGACAACCAAATACACATGATCAGAGAGGACAAACTGACTCACGGATACGTTGAGTCACGAATCGACAAGTACTTCCCAGAATTAATTAATCTCCAAGCCCTGGTTCTGGGAATAAGCGTTTATTACTATCAGGATAACAAGATGTGTGTATTTAAAATGGCTCATGAGATCTATTAGCTGATAACGACGGTGATTATTTAATGAATCTGATTATATCCAGGAGATTGACTGCAATTGGCTGTGAGTGTGGGCTCGTGAGAGTGACTCAGGTGGATGTCGAGAGCTCAAAGGTTGTTAAAGAATGGGTCTTGAGGTATGACAGACCAGTTTCAAGTGTTCAGATATTCTCTCGTTACAATTCAGTGCCATGTGACTTCATTCGTACTGAGGGAGTTGGAGGGAAGCGGGAGGATCCACCGATTTTGGATATTTTGATTGTTAATGCGATCAATTCTACTATCGTCTTCATGTAAATATCATTTATAATCTTTAGGATTAAACAATACACCACAATGTTGGAAATTTATTGGAATTTAAGTAATAACTTCATTCTGATTCAATGTCGTGAATTTGAATTCAATTTCAAGTCGAATCGTTCATGAAATTTCTCATTCATCTTGAACACAAAAAAAGTTATGAAAATCTCCCTTAAATTCGGAGGTATTCTTCGAAAATTCAGCTTTGCTGAATTGTACGCCCACTCCATCGCAAACCGTAGAATTCTGCATTCTTACTGGTTGAAATTCCGTTAGAATAAATAATCAAACTGATTTTTGGAAATTAAATTTTACATTCAATTAAATTCTCAATAGATTGAGAATTCACGAAAAAGTAGTTGAATATTCAATTATTTTCCCAGTTTATGGACCTAAAAATTAGAATTCCATTGAAAAATTCAAGAAATTGATTCATTTTTCAAAACAAATCGACAGGAATTTCCTGTAAATTTAACACTGCCACAAATTCCACAATTTTTTCCTTGAAAAAACAATTTAACATTCGGTTCTAGGGACGTCTTGCGTTCTGGAATGAAGAACCAGGCGATTCTGCCCTCGTTGGAGGCCACAGACTGCACATTATCGTCCTGCATAGCTGATATTAACATGGACAGTGTCAATGAGATATTATTAGGTACCTACAGTCAAGAAGTTTTCGTATTCTCATTCTCTAGTCAGAATTCTTCTTGGACGCTGTTAGATAAACGAAAATTCGATGCTCCTGTGCATTCCATGTGTTATTTAGACTTGACTGGAGATGGGATGAAGGAACTTGTTGTTTTGACGCAGAGAGGAGTCTATATATTACAGGTAATTCCTTCAGCATTCACATTTTTGCGTAGAACATGCTCATTATTACCTTTCATTGAGTTTTATTTTTTTGTTGATACAGCATGATCAGATAAAAGTGAATCGCCTCTTGGAGGAGCGTATGAAGGAGTTGACTATAAGACTGTCTAAATCTTCCCAAGACCAAGAAACTTGAACTATAATTGAGGATCATTGTTTTTGTTATGAATATTGGATATTAAATTTTTGATTCAAGAGAATTTATTGTTTAAGGATTATCTATTTGAATAATAAATTTTTCACGTAATTTACACGACAGAATATTCATCATTCTCCCGAAGGAATTAGAAACAAAAAGAATGGATTGATGAGACTCTAAATTGATTGTTCAAAACTAAACTCAAGAATTATTACTTTAGCATAAAAATAAAAACTTTAAGGAGAATTGAGGATCATTGTTGTGATGAATCTGAAATGCTAAATTTTGAATCAAAAAGACTTTATTAATGGAAATTAAATAATAAATTTTTCACATCATTTACACGACAAAATATTCGTCATTCTCCCCAAAAAATGAAAAGAATGAGTTCATCAAATTGAACAAAAAAAAATAAATCATCTAGACCACTAAATGAATACCTTAAACCTAAAATCAAGACTTTGTGCTAAAAATCTGACTTAAAAAAGAGTTTATTAACCAAAATTGAAACTCCCACAATATCCCACACCCCATCACCCAAAAGTTCACACAACTCTCCTCACTTCGAAAAATCTCTTCAGATAGAAAATTTGACCAGTGGTCATTGAAATCAATACTGCTGCTTCGAAAATTGACCACAACACAACGCGGAAATTAGTACTCTCGTTGATTGCCCTGTGGTTGCGGTCTCGTACCTGGAAAATCATAATTCCCATTAATCCCCAGACTAACCCCCTCTCCACGACTGAAACAAATTGCCCAATGAAAAATTACCTGCATGTACTCCTGTTCATTCTTGACCCCAGACAGACTAACGCTCAAATCCTTGATCATGTCGTCCAGCTTGAGATGATTGCCCTCGTCATCCTCGCCCTCGGGCTTGTGCTCCTCCCCCACCTTGGGAGGGTCACTCACATCCATGTTGAACATAACAACCTTGGGTGTCATCGTACTCTTCTGATTACTGAAGCAGTAAGTGTAATCACCAGGCATGTAGGCTGCAAACGTGTACTTTCCATTGCCCTCCTGTTCACCCTGGTAAATAACCTTTTTATCTGGGCCCTCGATCTTCACATCGATATCGAGGAATCCACCCTCAGCAATCTCGAAAGTCAGTCCTAAAAAATTCCCATCCCCATCAATCCCATCCTTTTTTTATTCTGGACTAGAAAAAATAATTGATGATGTGTAAATATTGACGTTACTAACCCATTTTCGTTCCCTGCTCAACCTTGTCAAAGAAGCACTCCTCCGCATGTGCATCGACGGTAATAAAATACGCACTTGCATCGTAAAACACACATGCAAAGACTAATAAACACAGTAACTTCATCTCAATCGCTAATTTATTTCTACCTAATTTTTAACAACCGATTACTCGAAACTAAATAAATTCTATCGACGTTGCAGTGTCGAGGCTGGTTTTACTGCCACGTTAACAGCCGGTAACACGTCCTAGGGATATCCTCCATGCATTACGTGAAGTTGTATTATATTGAAATATCTCGAAATCGATATCCTCAATTCTGATTGATCGATGAGTCGTGTGAAGTTGGTGTTGAAAAAATAGGCGGTACTTTCGAATTTTTCAAGTAATTGCTCATTTCTTTATATTTATCACGTGTGAAAATAATCAATCTTTCTATTTTTGAATTCGGATTAATGAATTTTATAAATTTAATTTTTCTTCTTTCATGAATAGCATGAAATTTATTTAATGCTATTCTCTTTTTTTTTCAGCATAAATTGCCTAATTTATATGCTTTCCCCGTATTTTTGTTTTTTTAGTAATAGAGATATTTCCAACTTTTTTTTACTACACTGTTAATACAAACCCCTCGCTTTCGGCGAGCGCTATACACCTCCGAAAGAACACTTTTACGCACCCGTATCGAAATATACTATTTTCAGCTCGGCGTATGCGCAAAGTCAGATTTTGTAGTCAGGTGTGAAATTCCGCGAAGAGGAAGGGACATGTGCACTTTATGCCCACCGAGGTGAAATGGTATATTTCTAACCTAGGCAAATAAAGTAAAGGAATTGTCCCCACAAGGGGAATTACGAGGGTGGTAAGCACCTGGGTAAGGGTCCTTTATTTTACCTCCCGTGGTTAAAACCATATTTTTCGTCTCGACGTAGACGCAAAGTCAAATTTCCCTTCCGCGAAGGAGTAGGTAAATGTGCACTTTGCAAACAAGTCCGAAAAAAACTTTTCTGACGATCGTGAGTGTTGCAGTCCGAGGCGAAGCTGCGGAATGCAATCAAACGAGTCCGAAAAGTTGTTTTCGGCCAAGTGACGACCAATTTTTCTTCACAATGTCCATAAACGGCGTTTGACGGTCACGAAGTGTCCATAAAACGACGTTTTACGGACAGTGTGATGAAATAGTGGTTTTTGACGTGTAGGAGGTGTGCAGTACTCGTCTCGCTCTAACAAAAGCCCATAATTACTCATCAATTTTTCCCTCGTCATTCATTTTCTTAATTTTGATATAAAAAAAATTCCAGATATTTCCGGATTCGAATGAAGAAACCAGCGCGCGCCCGTTGTATCCTAGGGAATTCCCAGTAGTTCAAACCGTCCGCCGAGCCCCAGCCAATGAGCTCGGCGCCTCCACCTCTATTTAATTAATAAATACCCGTCCCCTGTACCAGTCCCCCCGATTGGCCCTCCACCTCCGCAAAAACCCTCCCAGTCAATCTCCACGGCGCAACAGCTGTACATAACCGTTCCACGCACGCACATATGTAACAGTAGCAGTCAATAACTGTCAGACGGTCACTACACCCCCCACCCTCAAAACCCCTCGAAATATGAATGGGTTGATCGCGGCACGCGTATCAACAATTCATGCAACTCAAAATTGATTCCATCAACCAATCCTCAATAATTCAATGAACTCCACCATAAACTCAAATACCTCCCCGCCCCTCCCCCCACGAATGCAGCATTCCATCCCAAGCGCCTACAGACAAGGTCAACTACTCCCTTTTTTCTCATTCTTATTTTCACCTCTCCCACCCCAGAAACAAGAAAGAAATTCAACCATGAAATTCCTTCCACGAAACTCTCTCTCCCCCATCATACCCACCAGTATCCATATTAAAGTAATATAGCGTGGCAGAAAAAATGAGGGCTCGATCCTCATCAAGACCCCACCCTTCCCGATAATTAACAACATCATCCCCCAAAGCCCTCCCTCGTCAACCGAAACAGAGAAGTCTCTCCCCCACAAAGTGAGAAAAGAATATTGAAGGAGCACGGGGGTAGGTACGGAACGGCGTCAAGTCCCCCCTGAATTTTACCCTCACCCCCCCCCCC